CGCAAGAAAGATGGGACGCTACGTTTGTGCATCGACTATCGGGTGTTAAACAAACTAACCGTGAAGAACAAGTACCCTATCCCACTTATAGCGGACTTGTTCGACCGGCTGCAACGGGCACGGATATTTTCCAAGCTAGACTTGCGGAAGGGATACTACCAAGTACGCATAGTACCCGGTGATGAACCGAAAACGGCCATGGTGACGAGGTATGGCTCTTATGAGTTTCTTGTTATGCCGTTCGGTTTAACTAATGCCCCAGCCACGTTTTGCACTCTGATGCAACGTGTGCTAGCAGATTTCATTGATAAGTTCGTTGTAGTATACTTGGACGACATCGTTATCTATAGTAACACAATGAAGGAGCATGTGGAGCATCTTAGAGCCGTTTTTCAAGTCCTTAGGGAAAACCAGCTCTATGTTAAAAGGGAGAAGTGTTCCTTCGGCCTTGAGGAGGTGTCGTTCTTGGGACACATCATTGGTAGGGGAAAAATCCGCATGGATCCGGCCAAAATCAAAGCTATCGTGGAGTGGGAGGCACCCACGAAGCCAACGGAGCTGAGATCGTTCTTGGGGCTTGTTAATTACTATAGGCGGTTTATTGAAGGGCACTCCGCTATAGCCGCTCCACTAACGGATCTCTTGAAAAAGGGGCAAGCTTGGTGTTGGACACCAAAACACCAAACAGCGTTCGAGGCTTTAAAGGACGCCGTCACTCGAGAGCCAGTCCTAGCTCTCCCTAATTTTGAAAAACCGTTCGAGGTGTGCACAGACGCTTCGGACTTCGCCATTGGGGGCGTTCTCATGCAAGATGGTCACCCGATTGCCTTTGAAAGTCGCAAGCTGAACGAGACCGAGAAAAGGTGGCCGACGCACGAGAAGGAGATGTTGGCTATAGTTCACTGCCTTAGAGTTTGGGAGCATTACTTGAAGGCCGCCACACCGTTCAAGATCAAGACGGACAATCGGGCAGTGAGCTACCATCAAAGCCAACCTAAGCTTTCAAGCAAGCAAGCACGTTGGTTGGACTTCTTGGCCGAGTTTAAATATGAGCTTGAGTATAGCCCGGGGAAGACTAACCACGTGGCCGACGCCCTAAGCCGAAAGGCGTGTCTTGCTCCAATCGTTAGCATACCCGAGGGGACGCTGGTTGATCGCATCAAGAAGGGTCTTGAGCACGACCGTCAAGCCCAAAGGTTCATGGAGCTCGTGAAGGAAGGCAAGACAACACGGTTCTGGCTTGAGGATGGGATACTTTTTGCCAAGGGGAACCGTTTGTACGTGCCCGCATGGGATGGACTTAGAAGGGAGATTCTAAGGGATTGCCATGATAGCCGTTATGCGGGTCACCCAGGTACGCATCGCACACTTGCCTTAGTCCATGAACGGTTCTATTGGCCTCGCATGCGGGAAGACGTGGAGACGTATGTAAGGACTTGTCTAGTTTTCCAACAAGACAAGACCGAGCAAGACCACCCGCATGGCTTGTTATCACCCTTGCCTATTCCGGAACGCCCGTGGGATAGCGTTTCGATGGATTTCATCGTGAGCCTGCCCGTTTCCGAGGGTTGCACCAACATACTTGTTGTGGTAGACCGTTTGTCTAAGTATGCGGTCTTCATTCCCGCCCCAAAAGAGTGCACCGCGGAGATAACGGCCAAACTCTTTCTTAGGCATGTGGTGAAGTATTGGGGGCTGCCTACATCGATCATAAGCGACAGGGACTCGAGGTTCACCGGCCGTTTTTGGCAAGAACTCTTTCGTTTGCTTGGGACAGAGCTCAAGATGTCTACATCTTTGCACCCGCAAACAGATGGGCAGACGGAGCGCATCAACGGCCTCTTGGAGGTGTACCTTAGGCACTATGTGGCAGCCAACCAGAAAGATTGGGTACGTTTGCTAGACGTTGCCCAATTTTCCTATAACTTGATGCGGAGTGAGAGCACGGGCAAAGGTCCGTTTGAGATTGTCCTTGGTTTCCAACCGACTACGCCTAAGGACATTCTTGGGGGCTACAAGGGCAATAGCCCACCCGCATACAAGTTTGCCAAAGATTGGCAAGAACGGGCCGACGAGGCAAAACTCTACTTGGAGAAGTCGGCCGCGCGCATGAAGAAATGGGCGGATAAGAAACGGACCCGTTGCGAGTTTGAAGAAGGCGACCAAGTCTTGGTGAAGCTTTATGAGCATGGACGGAGCCGTGGTCTACACAAGGGTCTCATGCGCAGATACGAGGGTCCTTTCACCGTTCTTAAGAAAGTGGGTTCGGTTGCTTACAAGCTGGAGCTACCCGAGGCCTTTTCAAGGCTTCATCCAGTCTTTCATGTGAGCTTACTTAAGCCATACCGCAAGGATCCAGAGGACAAAGAACGGAACGTTTCCTCAAGGGCACCAGCTGGCGTACGCGAGCATGAGGAACGGACCGCAGAGGAGATCCTTTCTAAGAGGATCGTTCGGGGCAAGAGCGGGGCAGCAACTAAAGAATACTTGGTGAAATGGAAGAATTTGCCAATGAGTGAGACGAGTTGGGAGCCAATCGAGAAGCTTTGGCAATTCACCAAATTGATCGAGGACTTTGAGGAGAACCGTGCACCTGTTCCTATCAACATTGCCTTCGAGACTTAGGTGCATCGGGGCGATGCACCATTTTGGTGGGGGAGGATGTCACGGACAGTTCTTCTTCACCATGAATTCGAGTGGTTTGATGCGAAACGGGCTATTTTCGTAGATGGACACGGGACGGAATGGTCTAGAGCCTTGTGGAATTTTCCGGTCAAATCTTGAAGACTCTGGAATTTTCTAGAGAGGCCCGGAACTCTCTAGAAACGGGTGGAACCGTGTGGAAGCTACCCGAGTTTGCTAGAACCGTGTGGAAGATTCTAGAGACTTGTAGATATTTTGAACTTAGAATATTTTATTGTAGGAATTCTCTAGAATTCCATTATTTTATTATGTATATAGAATTCTCTAGAATTCTTTAGGACTTGGGGTTTGCCTATAAATACCCCATGCCCCCTTCATTTGTAATCCATCCAAGCTTTGAGTAGAGTTCTCAAGCATTCCCTAAGCTCTCTTGTGCCTTCATCATTCTTTCACTTTAAACCTTTCTTAAGTTTTTCTTTGCCTCCGTTCTTTAAAGTCTTGTCTAGCTTTGCACGCTTTGGGGGTCTTAAGGCTGAGCTAGCACTTGATCGTTAGTTGTTTGTGCTAGTGCCGCATGGCCGTTACTTTGAAAAAGTAAGCCCGTGACATATGCATGTCTACCCAAAATAGCCTTAATTTCGCGCAACAATTTATATACATATTCTTGTGATCCATTTCAAAAAATCTACCTTATATAAAAAGAATTTTTCAGCCATAATTGCAAGCAAACATTATATATTTTTAGACCTCTATCTTGAAGAATAATTTTTAGGCAAGCCTTTTGGCACAGCAGTTTCAACAGTATCCAAAATTACTTTACAGGATTGATCAGCCTCTGTAACATGACAAAGACAAAGGATCCTCCAAGTGAAAGGATCTAAAACTCTACAGCATCCAAACAAACAAAGAAAAATATTATTGGGTCCTTTGAAGACTAAATTATTTGCATTTACAATGTGTTCAAAATCAACGGTTAAATCCAGCAAGGTATGATTTTCCAGTCATGATGCTTTTGAGAGGTGCTATTTATTATTAAAAATCATGAGAGCTCCACAAAATCAGGCTGCAGTACACGAACTATAATGGCTTTGCAAAATTTCAGAAGCGAACAAATTCCAAATCAGGTGGAGAAAAGCCCTTAAACCAATTTTTTTTTTTTTTTTGGAACAGCTTAAACCAAATTAAGCCAACTTTGATGAAATGCGATATTACTGCTAATATTACGACTACAAATAGTCGATTCCATAGTCGAACAAGTGGAATAAAGGTTTGTTGTTGTAATTTTTAAAGAATTACTCACCTTTTCTTTTCTTTTTTTTTCTTTTTTTTTTTTATGTGTTTGAATACGACTACTCACAGTCGAATAAGGTGGTGGAAGAACCTCCAAATTTCTACAGGATAATAAGTGAATGCTTTCAGAAAAATTGCTTCAAAGTGCAAACTAACAGCACGCAACGACATAGGTAGAACAACATCACTTTGGGAAAGTCGTCTAAGTAACTCATATCTTCTAGCAATAGAAACTTTTATTTTTGGGATCAGATGCGACCATGATTCTAGCCAGAACTTGTTCTTGGTAATTCAAATGGAACCAAAATTACCTTCATTTGACCATTTCATCTTCGACGAAAGTTCGTTCAATTTCCAGTGGCTGTCAATCCCTTCTTTATGAAAATTGGAGCTCTCATCGGGTTCATGCTTTCACTATCAAAACTCAAGATGAAACCATGAAAGCTAAAATCGAAAATGAGAAAAAAAAAAAAAAAAGACGATTTGAATCAAATAGTTGAATTAAAAAATCTAGATGAAGCTCTCAATTGAGATGTAACTATCGTCAGTTAGGGAAACCGGGAAAGAGAAGATATAAAATAGTAATAGGTAATAAGAGGGATAAAATAGCCTTTTATATTGTCACAAGACATTAATTGTATTTAAGATATTTAAAAAAAAAATTAATAATGCCCTTAAGAATAATTCTGATCTTTCCCATGTCTTTTTTAAAAATTTTCCCTATTAAAATTACACTTAAACATCACTTTCAATCTTTTAAAACAATGTTTCACTAGTCTGTTGACACTTAAAGCCGTGTGTGGATATTGACTTTTTTTTAGTTTTTTTTTTAAAAAAAGAAAAGGAAACAAAAAAGAGAGATGTAAAAATTTGTGATAGAAAGTTAATATAAAACAAAAATGCATGCTGGAATTTGGAAGTGCAAGAAGTTGGAAAGTAAGAATTGAAAAAAATGAAACTTCTTTTTTCCAACATTCTCCTCCCTTTCAAAATTATTATCTAATTTTGACTTTAATTTTTAATATAAATTGAATTAAAAATAAAATTCAAATTAGAAATAATTTTGGAATCGGAGGAGAGAGTATTAAACAAACAGAGCTTTAGCTGTCACTTCAATGCTTCCTCACTAAAGAGTGAAAGGGTTGCACTGTTTCTTTCACTGTAATTTGACCCAAAAAAATCCGAGTATTCAAATCTCAGAGAAAAGAAAGATACAGAGATAGAAATACTACTCTACTGTCTGTTGCAGAGAGTACAGACTAATATATCTTGGAATTCTAAACTAACTTCCAAAATCCAAACCCCCAAATCCTCCACAAACACAAAAAGATACCTCAAATTCCCAATCTCTTCTGATCTATACTCCAGCCAAAGAAACTTCTCATTTTTTCCCCAATTTGAAATTTACCATCCAGCTCATTTGAATGCCACATTCTCCATTAATGGCGGAATATGACCCCACAAACACCGCCGCCACCATCGGCGGCAGCTCCCACCACCAGCATCTCATCCACAAAGAAACAGCCCTTCAAGCACTCAACACCATTATCCAGCTCCATTTTGAGAAGACCCTTGAGAAGAAAAGGGCTGTTGATGTCCAGAAGAAGGAACTCTGGAAGCTATTCCAGCTGTTCTTCCTGTTTTTGGGGATTGTCTTTCTAGCTCAATCTAACTCGCCGACGCTTCAATGCCGGCATTGCTGGATACCCATTGGGTTCTTATCCTTGGCTCATTTGATTTTCTACGTTTCTGTGGCTCAGACGCTCAGATGCATCAATGGGTTCAAGTACCAGAGACGGTGTCATAAATTGACTCTTGGGTTGGCCACCGAAAGGCTCCGGCAGCTCCGGATTAAAATTGGGAGCGGCGGCGGCGCCGCCGGCGGTGGTGGGGTGATAGATGAGTACGGCGACGAGTTTGAGATTCCTTATCAAGAACCACCAGAGAGTTACTTCGGCAAGTTTAAGAGGAATTGGATTCTGCATTTTGGGTTCTTGATCTTCATTTACGGATTCATGGTGTCGTCCTCTGTAGTAATGCTTTGCTTTTAGCTCAGGATTCTGATGTAACTGTTTGACTGAAAATGTAATGTGGGATTTTGACTTCGACGGTCAAGGCAGAAGAGATCTTCCAATCTCTTGTTATTCATTTATTGTAGTAATTTTTATTGCACTTTTTGGTAGAAAACAATGAGTAGTTCAAGTTAATTTCCTGTGTTTTTTTCTTTTTCTTGTCTGAATTTCATATTTCTGAGATGTGTACATATAGCTTAACCGCAATAGTCTCAAACGGATGTTATTTATCAAACTGTTTTTTTTTTTTTTTGAAAATTTTATCAAACTGTTATACCCCTCCATTCTAAAATAAGTGTTATCCTACACTTTGCACATAATTTAAGAAACTCTTAAATAAAGTAATAAAATTACTTGAATATTTTCAACCAACCCCATCATAAAATTATTCACCAATAACATTAACTCTTTTGAGTGTAATTTTGAAAATTTTTGACAAAAAGTGCATTGAAATGTGAGAACGACACTTATTTTAGAATTTCTCTATTTTGCTAAAACGACACTTATTTCGGAATGGAGGGAGTAGTACAGTAAACATAGTAAAACCTTACTTGATGTTTTTGGTGTCAAATATTCAGTCAATTTTCTGCAGAAACTCCAATGAGAATAAGCTAAAAAGAATGTAATGGTTGACAAAAGAAATGGTCAAACTTATCAATTTGGTCATTTTAATTATTCAATGGTGAATTACAATAAGAATCATTCTTCTATAGTCAATGAACAGAAACTAGCTAACTACATATCTCGGGTAATAAATTAAGAAGGGGAGGAAAAATTTAATTTCCGTTTATTATTGGTATCAAGAAGACAAGAACCTACCTACCAAGCTACAATCAACATCTCCAAGACTGAGGGAGACAACTTCAAGCCTAAGCTGCCGATAGTGATCTGCATAATGAATTGTATGCATCAACACATTGTTTAAATTTCTCTTCTGCTGCTGCCTGCAAAAAAGGAAAAAAAAAAAAAAAAAAGGGTGTGTAAGATGAAGGAGCACAGATCTATATGGTATACCAACAGGAATTTCAAGTTACGCCATAACTGGAAATGATATCTGCAAAACTAAGAGTGAAAGAATGATCAAGACCCCAAAAGTTTCCCTCTGACCTAATATTCTTCTTGAGGGAAAATGATATTTAAAATAATAATCTTGTATTAGAGAATATAATTAACTCCAGAGTACAGCAGCTCTCACATAGAATTGAGTTTGTGATAAAGAAAAAAAGAAAGAAATCAGATTAATTGTTTCCCGTCCATAGCATTGTCTAATTCCTGATACCTCCGACCATCCTTTAATATGATACATACACAAAAAAGAGTACTTAATTGTCTGCCTCAGTCCAACATGCAACGATTTTTCAACACAAACTCCTCATATTGCACCAATAACTTGCTACTATAGGGCAGTATTTCTCTTGCAATGGTCATAAGAGATGAAACGAATAATGTCAAGCAATAGTAGTAACTGAAAAGAAACAAATTTACCTGTGAAGGGCCTTGATGCTTATCTGGATGCCATTTCAGAGCTGATAATCGAAAACTGTATCGAACAGCATTTTCATTAGCTTACCATAGTCCTTGGGACCTAAAGATTATGATCTTAAACTAAATTCGATGAAAAAGCATGTCTGGAATAGAGACTCACGCATTCTTTACATCCTGAATATTCAAGGGACCCCTAAGCGGTAAACCAAGAACTTGTCTCTCAGAATTTGAGCCAGAAATGCAAGGCTCAGCATCAGGCTCTGACTCGCTTTCGATATCTGACTCTCTGGGTCTTCTATAACTCCAGTCCCAATGTTTCTTGAAGTCAAATCCGGATGCTGAACTCTGAAAAAAGGGATCCCAGTAAGACCATGTACACCCTCGTTTCCTAAGAGACTCTTGAAATACTTTTTCGTGGTCAAATATATGCACACGTTCTTTCTCCCTCCTCCACTTTCCTGAGATAGCACAAAAGAACATATCAAAAGGAGACATGTCGGCACATAGAAAAGACTCAAGGATTACTCCCTCAAATCTGTTAAATGTATGAAAGACTCAATTACAACATTAAAGGGCTCTCAAACTCCATTAAGTTAAATGTATGAATGCATAGATCAAAACTAGAATTTACTTCTTGTAGCTATGGCAAGTTTAAACAAAGTGAAAATTTATTCTATACTATCAATATCACTTGAGATTTTCTTCAGTTACACATAACATATGTTTTCAGAGAATAATATCCTTAATTGCAGTGTTTTAAAAAGACAGGAAAAAAAAAACAAAATGAAAAGAAAAAAAATCCGAAGATATGGAAGCGTCTAGAAGAGGAGAAAAGAATTGATTCGAGGAAAGAGGCCCCAAAGAAAGCACCATGAAAAACTTAATGACAGGTGTTTCGAATTCCAGGTCTGTTATCACTTTAAAAATGCTAAAAACTCACTCTTCATTCTCCGATGCTGAGCTTTAGCAGCACGGCGTGCAGCATGAGAAGACTTAGATTGGTCTTTCTTTTCCAAAGGCTCTTCCTCATCTACATCAGATAATGCATCTGTTTCCACATATGTTTCCTAATGGGTAAAAGCCAAAGAAGCAATTCCTAGTAAGAAACAAAGTTGATGAAATAGTATATAAACATACTGTATTTCTTCAACTTTAACCTCAACTTCAACATACCCAGTATGTTCCAAACCCATAAACATACTGTATATGAGTAATAAAAACAATCAGCAGGCCGAGATCATACAGGTTTTGCAGGCAAACTGTATCAGAGTTGGCTAAAGTTTCCATCATGCGGCTATTCCAATCAACATGAAATTTTAATGGTTTCTACACCAAAGTGCATTTTATATAGAATATTTAGTTTCACTTTTTCAATGGGAAAAATAAGGACTCCGGTAGTCCGGTATCAAAACACATACTTTCATAACCAAAGTCAAATACTTCTATATACCCCGCATAACAATACTTTACCCCCAAAGAACAGGTGTACGCAGCAGTACCAAACACCCCAGACCCTAACTTGGTTGGACTATATATGATATACTGATTTTGATTGCGTTCAAGATCATTGATTCAACATCTTCTTAAAGATCATTTCATTAAATGAACACATGGCAGACCACAGAAAAAGATACCTATTTGCAGGGAAAACCATAAAATGCTCACTATTTTCCACAAAATCTACCTCAAATGAGACGTTGGAGAATCCACTGTTGAAGAGAAGATTTTTCAGTGCTTTCTTTGCATCAGCACGCTTCTGGCGAGTTTTGTATTTTATATAATCCTGTCGAGTTCTCCCATGTCAAACAAAGTAATAAAGTATTCATCCGCAGGAAGAAGCTCCGTCAAGCTTGACAATAAAGGATTACAAGCGATATCTGGATATATTACAGAACAGTGAACTAATGCAAAATGCAAAGAAATTTATCACCAAGGCAAATATTTCCAAATGACACGTGCTAAAAATAATTCACAAGAGTAAACCATCCAAGTTATGTCAGGTTGCTTTTTTGGCAGTTTTCACTTTTCAGTAATAAAAGATAGGGCTTCCTAGCTTAGCTCATATCAATTTTAATTTTGGGAATTATGGCAGTTTCCACTTTGAGGAATGGGTCTATTCCTCAAACTGGAGTCAGTTCTTGCTGAATTTCTCTATCTCTTATATTGACTGCTCGAAATATTAGATCTACGAAAGGGCTACTCTCCAAGTTTCATTAACTGATACAACTAACAAAGGGGCATCATTGGAGAAGAACTTTAAAAAACTCGACATACATCGCAAATCCTAAATTTCAATACTAATTTCTAAAGAAACAAATTCAGGAAAAAGAGAAAATCCAGATGCAAGAATGATGGGCGCAAAAGCACAGACGTCATGAAGCACATGATGCATGTAATCAAATTATTATGCTAATTAGCAAACTTTCCGTTTATGTTGGTCTTAAGGAATTGAATCAGAGATAAGAACTGAAGAGACTGAGAGGACAAGAAATTGCCAAATCAATTTATTATCTAAAGAGCAAAATTAAGAATCTGCTCACATCTTGTTCAAAATACCATAGACACAATTCATAATATCAGAACAGGTAAATAAACATAAAGATGGAAACGAATGTCACTCAATCTGTTAAACAGAATGAATCACCTTAATTAGGAAAAAATAAATTTACAAAGGAAATAAGTTGCAGCCGGTGAAAGCAATAAAATGAGGTGGCAATATTCCATTCAACAAATGCATGCCACCTCTTTCTTTAGAAGAAACGCTAAACTCAACAATTAGATCATGTTAATCAGAAAGTATCAAGAGCTATGATGAGGACTTCACCTTAGATGGCGTTTGACTACTTCTTTGACCCTGCAGATAATAAACGATAAATTACCCGTTAGAAACACCAAAAAAAAAAACAAAAAACAAAGCTGTAATGACCAACTTAAAAATACAACAAAAGAGAACGATCAACTCACACATGGGAAAGATCTAGGGTCCTAAGAAAACTGTCTCATCACCAAAACCACTGGTCTATGGATCAATTACTATTTGATCGCTCTTTTTCTCTAGCCATTATCCAAGGGGGAAAAAATAGTGAAAAAGGATTTCACGGAAACCATTTTATTTGAACATAAGGTAGTCTAATACGAGGTAGATGAATGAAGTGCCGAAGCAGAGTGTTCAACAAATCAACAAATTTCCCAGTTACAATTCATCAAATTCTCAAAATGTTGTGGAGAAACATAAAGTGCAGCATTAGCTTAATAACGAAAAATGATCAACCACTACTACAACCTACCTTTATTCAGATCATATCCAAAGTATCTCCACAAACCAGCAAACAGAAAATGACGTATGAAAGGAAGAAAAGTTTAAATTTTTAAGCCAAATGTATCCGCTTTGGCATCTCAATTAGGCAAGCAAAGTAACTGTCGTTCAACAATCATCAGATGTAATCGTTTTATAAATCAGAGAAACAGAAGTAAACAAGAAAAATAAACATCTTAAGCCGAGGATTGGGCCAACCAAGAAAAAAACCTATCTTTTCCAACCCCAAAAAGGCAAACCTATACATAGAACAATCAGTTGATTCCATCTCATTCATGTCAAAAAGAAAACATGAGCTGCTATGGCGCTTGTTTTACACCATAATCCAGTCCAAAAAAAACAAAAAAAAAAAAAAACAAAATTCATACAAGAAATCGTTAATCTCGTCAAAATAATCACATAAGCAATATCAGAGCAAGGAAAGTTTTGATTTTTACACCCAAAAAAATACAAAAGAAATACTGATAGCCAATTTTAAAGAGACTTCATTTTTGGTATCACCGAAAAAGGAAAGAAATTACTCACTGGGGTACGTTTGTGGCTGGCAGAGGTCCATTTATTCCTCCATTTGTCATGACTAACTCGTGTAGAATGGAAATCAGCGAGATGGGTTATTGATGTTGATGCAATTCCTGTTGATTGAACTAATAATGAATTCTTCAAAATCAAAAGGCTTCGCCATCTGGGAAGAGATTGCATTGACCTTAAAAGCAACGAAACGAAGTAACGAACTGAAAAATTGTCGAAGAAACAGAGGACCGGGAAAAGGGAGAGAAAATGGGGGAATTGGGAAGTGGGAAGAACGGAGAAAATCAGAAAATGTTGGAAGGGTTAGTAAAAAAAGGCGCTTTTGCCAAATCACGCCTTCGTGATAGAATCTTTCCCGGAGCTCTTAGAAAACGGGTATAACAGTAAAAAATGTTGGATTGTGACCCACCCATTTACGCTAGATTACCGGGTTAAACTTGAAAGGGAAATAAACAAAAAGTTGAGCTTAATGAACCAAAACCTAGCACATTTTAACATACTCCCTCCGTCCCATAAAAATAGTCCAATTTAATAAAAAAATTTGTCCCAAAAAAATAGTTCAGTTTTTTTATCCATTAGAGTATGTCATGATCAGGGGTCTGTTATTCTAGAAAATATGGGGGTGATTTGGCAATTTAAGTTGACGGCTGACTTTATGGTCAATCATTAGCAGTTAATGGTCTCATTTTCCAGTTTTCGGTTGTATTTTCTTTTACAGAGATTTGGGAATAATAAATACCCAAATGATTGTGTAATAAGGGCAGGAAAGAAATTCAATAAATCTTCCTTCTTGATTTCCAGATTCTTCTTCATCTTCTAGATCTTCCTTCTAAACTGCTTCCCCTTCTTCCCTTATTCCCTCTGAACTCTGATTCTGGTCGCCGGTGCTTGCCATTTTTTCCGGTGAACCCTCACTGTTTAATTACTCAAAAGGTCCGACTCTGACATTTGGTATCAGAGCCGAGCAATCCTCGGCTTTGTACTAAAGAAAGGATGACACAAACTAAAACGTAATGAGAAATGGAGGATCTTCGGTTGCAGTTCGATGAACTGAAGACCCAGGTTACGGAGATGAATCAAAAACTCGTAGCTGAATTGGACAACAAATTGGATACTATTTTGGATTCTAAGCTTGAATCAAAGTTGGGGGCATACACTGATAAGATCTTGGCTGCTCTCAATCACCAAAATCAATTGTCAAGACCGCCGGAAAAACCACCTGGGGAAAACCCTAATTGCAGTATCTTGGGGTCGGGTTCAAAAGAGACGGTTATGAACTCGGGGGGAAATGTTGGTCGAGATCGAGTACCGGAGGTGATTACAGTAGGCCATACTCCGACTATACCAGCTCTGGGTAAGGATAAGACGGTTGTTAACAAGATTCCGAATTATGCATTACCTCGAATTGAGTTACAAATCTTCTCCGGCAAGAAACTGAGGGAATGGGTTTGGAAATGTGACAAGTTTTTCGCCATACAACAGATTCCAATGGAACAAAGAGTTGATGTTATTGACATGTATTTGGATGATGAAGCAGATACGTGGTTTCAGTCGTTGAAAATGGTTAACCCTTTCATTTCTTGGCCCGAATTCTGTCAAGAATTGATGAAACGGTTTGTGGATATCAGTGAAGTCAACCCGGTAGAGGAATTCAATAAACTGGTACAAAAGGGCAATGTTCGAGATTATCAGGTCAAATTTGAGGAGCTAAGGGTCAGGATGTTAATTCAAGATCCACGGTTGTCAGAAGAGTACTTCATCTACAGTTTTCTCAGTGGCTTGAAGGAGGAACTCAGAGCAGGCGTTAGAATGCATGAACCTTCCAATTTGTCGGCTGCGGTGAAGATTGCTCAGAGAAGGCAGAAACCATCTCCTTACCAGGTTCTAAGGCCTAACTCTTCTTTTAGTTGGAATTCTAATAATGGTAAATCTTTTGTCAAGAATAAAACCATCAATCCGAATTTTGTAAAGAGGTTGACCAATGAGGAATATCAGTACAGGGCTAATAATCATCTATGTTTTAAATGTAGGGAAAAGTTTGGACCAGGACATGTTTGTAAATACAGACAGTTTAACATAATGATTGTTAGTGAAGAAGATGAAGAGAGTGATCGTTTTAATATTGATGCACCGGAGTTAAGTATTGATGAGGGAATTGACTTGAATGACTTAACCATTGAAGAAGGTTCTATGCATGTACTTTCAGTGGATTGTGTCAAACAGACTATATTGTTGCTAGGCAAGATTGATGGTAGGATTGTGAAGATCCTAGTGGATACTGGCAGTACAGATAGTTTTGTGGATTTGTTGTTAGTCAAAGATTTGAAATTGCCATATAAAGAGTCTAATATGTTCACAATAACTGTTGGGAACGGGAACAAGGTCTCTGGAAACTTGGTTTGTCCTAATTTGCACTGGAAGATCAAGGACTATAAATTCAGCTACGATCTAAAGATCATGAGGTTAGGGGGATATGACATGAGTTTGGGCGTTGATTGGATGAGGCATTTCAGTCCCATCACCTTTGATTTCGATGATATGCAGATCAGGTTAAGTAAGTATGGCAGGCAGTACATTCTACAAGGTAAAGGCAGTGTTGAGAGTATGAATCTGGTCAGAGATAAAGAATGCCAAGTTCTGTCACAGGAAAAGAGGGGCTGGTTGATGGCTATGTAACTGGAGGCCTTGAACAGTGATGAGAAATCAGTAATGGAATCCACTCTCCCTGACAGCATCTGCCAACTCTTGGATAAATATTGTGCTGTTTTTGATACTCCAAAGTCACTTCCTCCTAGCAAGGCAGTTGATCATCAATTTTTGTTGAAAACGGGAGCTCAACCTTTCAAAATGCTGCCATACAGATGCCCTCATGCATATAAAACAGAAATTGAGAAACAGGTGACTGAACTATTAGAGCAAGGTATAGCTCAACCAAGCAGGAGTCCTTTTGCTTTACCTGTGATCCTGGTTAAGAAGAAGGATGGGAGTTGGAGGATGTGTGTTGATTACAGGAAGCTGAATGATATGACTATTAAGGATAAATTTCCCATTCCTATCATAGATGAGCTACTGGATGAGTTGCAAGGTGCCCAGGTTTTCTCCAAGTTGGACTTAAGATCAGGTTACCATCAAATCTTGGTAAACAAGGAGGATGTACCTAAAACTGCATTCCAAACCCATCATGGACATTATGAATTCTTGGTTATGCCTTTTGGTCTTACTAATGCACCTGCCACTTTTCAATCTCTAATGAACCTGATTTTTCAGAAGCAATTAAGGAAGTTTGTCCTTGTTTTCTTTGATGATATTTTGGTCTATAGTAAGACCTTGGAAGAGCATGTTTCTCACTTGGAAAAGGTGTTGGGGATACTGTAACAGAACCAGTTGTATGCCAAGAAAAGTAAATGCTTGTTTGCACAGAATTCAGTGGACTATTTGGGTCACATCATTTCAGGAGAAGGGGTCAGAATGGATCCTCAGAAGGTTGATAGCATCTCCAAATGGCCAATACCACATTCTGTTAAAACTTTAAGGGGGTTCTTGGGTTTAACTGGCTACTACAGAAGATTCATCCAAGGGTATGGTATAATCTGTAAACCTCTCACCAACTTGTTGAAGAAGAGCTCTTTCAAATGGTCAGAGGAAGCTCAACAAGCATTCCAGAAGTTAAAAGAGACCATGATGTCTGCTCCTGTTCTCAGAATGCCGGATTTCAACCAACCGTTTATAGTTGAAACGGATGCAAGTGACATTGGAATGGGAGCTGTATTAATGCAATCAGGCCATCCCATTGCATTCATCAGCAACGCATTCAGTCAAAGGAACAAGTGTTTATCAGTTTATGACAAAGAATTGATGGCATTAGTTCTTGCAGTAACTAAATAGAGACATTATCTCCTTGGAAATCATTTCATCATCTGTACTGATCATCAGTCCCTCAAATTCCTGTTGGAGCAGAAAGTCATCAATACCTATCAACATAAGTGGTTAACCAAACTCCTTGGTTATGATTATGAGATCCAATATAAAAAAGGTAAGGATAATACTGCTGTTGATGCCTTGTCAAGGAAGGAACCAGAAGTTTATAAGGATCAAGGGGTCTGTTGTGCAATCACTACAGTCCAACCTATGTGGGTACAAGAGGTAATTAAGACTTACCAAAGGGATGATAGCATCAAAGATGTTATTGCTGAACTCACTATTAGACCTGATCCTAATTCTGAGTATCAGTATGTGCAAGGTCTGCTCAGAAGAAAAGGGAGAATCTGTGTTGGTGTAAACTCTGAGTTGAGGCAAAATTTGTTGACTGCCTTTCACTCTTCTCCATTGGGGGGACATTCTGGTCAAAATGCTACTTTACAACGATTGAAATCAGTGTTCTATTGGCCTAACATGAAGCAGGATGTGCTAATGTTTGTCTCCCACTGTGAAGCTTGTCAAAGGAACAAGGGAGAGAATGTTCCTTATCCGGGTCGGTTAAGTCCAAATCCTGTCCCACAACATGCTTGGAAGAGCATTTCTATGGACTTTATTGTGAAGCTTCCGATTTCTGAAGGATTTGACACCATTTTGGTGGTAGTGGACAGACTTACCAAATATAGCCACTTCATTGCTTTAAAACCTCCAATCACTGCCACAAGGGTAGCTGAAGTATTCTTGAACGAGATTTTCAAGCTGCATGGATTACCTGAAGATATCATCACTGGCAGGGATAAGATCTTTACAAGTCATTTTTGGCAGGAGTTGTTTAGAATGCTGGGAGTTCAGCTCAAGATGAGTACTGCATATCATCCCCAGACGGATGGTCAAACCGAAAGGGTAAACTAATGCCTTGAGAATTATTTGCACTGTTTCTGCTATGATCAACCAATTTTTTGGAGCAAATGGCTCTCCTTAGTAGAATGGTGGTACAATTCTTCCTTCCACACCAGTATCAAGATGCTCCATTCGAAGCACTTTATGGTAAAAAACCTGGTCTGTTTCCACTAGGAGAGTTCACTGACAGTGTCATTCCTGCAGCAGACCAATTGGTTCAGAAGAGAGTTACAGTGTTAAGATTGCTACAAGAGAACATAAAAAAGGCTCAGGACAGGATGAAATGGTTTGCAGATTTGCACCGCATTGATAGGGAGTTTAAGGTTAGAGATTGGGTACTGTTGAAGTTGTAACCGTACAAGCAGTCAACTGTGGCTGTGAGATCTTACTTGAAACTGATGTCTAAGAACTATGGTCAATATTTGGTAGTGGAACGGATTGGAGAAGTGGCTTATAAAATACAACTCCCTGTGTTTGTTAAGATACACCCAGTCTTCCACGTATCACTCTTGAAGAAATATCATGGAAACATTCCAGCAGCTTGTACACCACCACCTGAGTGCCATGTTTTGGAGGAGCATTCCCTGCAACCTGAAACTATTTTGCAGAGGCTTTTTATTGCCAGAAATGGAGTTCAGGTCAACCAATATTTGGTTAAATGGAAAAACATGGAAACTAGTGATTCATCGTGGGAGGATTACAACTTTATCAGGAGCCAATTTCCTTCTTTTCAACTTTGAGGACAAGGTTGATTTTGTGGGGAAGGTATTGTCATGATCAGGGGTCTGTTTACAAATTCCAGAAAATATGGGGGTGATTTGACAATTTAAGTCGGCTGACTTTATGGTCAATCATTAGCAGTTAATGGTCTCATTTTCCAGTTTTCGGTTGTATTTTCTTTTACAGAGATTTGGGAATAATAAATACCCAAATGATTGTGTAATAAGGGCATGAAAGAAATTCAATACAATCTTCCTTCTTGATTTCCAGATTCTTCATCATCTTCTAGATCTTCCTACTAAACTGCTTCCCCTTCTTCCCTTATTCCCTCTGAACTTTGATTCTGGTCGCCGGTGCTTGCCATTTTTTTCCGGTGAACCCTCACTGTTTAATTACTCAAAAGGTCCGACTCTAACAGAGTAGTAGTAAGGAAAACAAGGCCTACTTCATTTTATTTTTATTTTTTTAGTTTTCTCCCATTTATTAAATGATTATATCTTTTAATACATAAATAATTAAAAAATGTGATGTATATCAAATTAATCTACGTAACGAGACCTTTCCATCATTATCATTTGTCAATATTTTTTGAGATAAAAATTTTGATCAAAATTTAAGTTGTAAAATAAATGTATATGTAGTTAACTTTTATAGAAATAATTAGGAGCATTAGTGGAAGTTAGGGGCATAAAATGAGTTGTACATTTAGTGTGTTGACCAAATTAAAAAAGTTGTACATTTTTAAACTGGACTATTTTTCTTTGATGGAGGGAGTATTACTTTGTTCATGTTTCACATAATTAGACAGATAAAAGTATAATTTCAGCTGCAAAAAATAATTTCTGAAATACGAGTTGAAGATAAGGGGCATAAATATATCAACAACATTCTTCTAAAATAACAACAAAATAGAACCAAAAACTTCAAGGCGGGATATGGTGTTTTTTTGAAAAAGTGGCGAGATATGGTGTTATTTACCATTAAATTAACTTTCTCCTAACAAGGTCAATGTAAATTGATAAAGTTCACTACCCGAAGAGCAAGTGTGGTAATCTCATTTGTCGAAGGACTAATAATAGAGGTTTATTTCATATTCACATATCGAATGTGACAGTTTTTTCTTTATCGAAATGATAATAATGATTTTATTATACACTTGTAGTTTTTGTACAGTATTGTGGCTGTAAGCTCTAAATTGTAGGTACTATTTTTGGCGAACATGTTTAGTCGAGCCCAATTTAATTTTTAACAAGAAAGGTAAAGATAACATTCAAGAACATATAAATGGTACCACTCAATTAAGGAGCTTGTCAAAAGAAAAACAAGGAATGAGCTACCTAATCTTTTTATACACAGAACATTGAATTAATGTAATTACTTCAATCTATGCAAATGTCACAAAGACACAAAGGGCAAATTGATAAAAAAAAAATAAAAAAATAAAAATCTACAGATCAAAAAAATTCCAATGAGAATTGAGAAAACTATATTCTACCAATTACCCAACAAACCAAAAACCAAAACACAAAAAAAAAAAATAATAATAATAATTTAAATCCTTTTAGGATCTAATCGCAACCCATCATTTTGCAATGATCCCACATTTCATTTTCTCTCAAGCTTGATTTTCTGTCTTCCCAATAGATTGTTTAGCTTCTTCCTTTTTCTCAGTGAGTGTTTCAGTTTTATCTTCAACTTTCTTCTCTGGTTCTTTTACCTCCTCTGCTTTCTCCGAAATTTCGACGTTTTCAGACACAATAACTTGTTTAATCTCCTCTGTTGTCTTTGCAGATTGTTGTTGATCAGCAATACTCTGTTCATCCTTACCTGATTTGATTACCTCCTCTGATTTCTTCTCATCAGTCTCAGATTTTTGGACATTTTCAGCGATCGGGATAGCTTGTTTTACCTCAACATCCACAAGAGGTTTAACTATTTCCTCTGTTTCCTTCTTCGCATCAGACGGTTCCTGATGATCATTTGCAGCAGCCGAATCAGCTTTCGGTACTTCTTCCGATTTCTTCTCAGATGTTACCGCATTTTCAGCCTCGTTCGCGACGAGTTTTACCACTTCCGGTAACTTGTTCTCCTCTGCTGTGGCAGCAGCTTTTGCCTCCTCCAACACTGGTTCTGAGACTGGCTTCTGTTCTTCAGCTTTTAGTGGAACTGTTTCAACTTGCTCAGTTGGTTTTACTTCAGATGAAGTAGATTCTTTGGTTACTGCTTCACTCTTGTTTGATTCCTTTTCCTCTTCATTCTACAATATTACATTGTGAAAAACTTGTAAGTTAATCTTGAAGTTATATAATCAAAAGCAAAAAAAAAAAAAAAGATGCCCTTGAAAAATTTGATTATGTTCCCAAAAAAAAAAAAAGCTTGAAAAAAATTCAAACTAAAAGACTGTGCGAACTGCAAAGTGATTATGAACTGAATTACTGAAGTGGAAAGTGGGGAAAGATTGACAGTCAAAAAGTTGGGACAACCTTGGCCGCAAAGATAAATCTATCCAGTTTGATCCGAATTAGTCGAGACAGTAATTTCAGATATTTATGCAAAAAATAGTATTATTATTAAAATGTTTCATATTTCAAGTTGGAAAGATTGAGTGCATGATTTCCAAATTCCAACGCAACATTGACCAAAAAAAAGCAAGGGCCAGGTTGGACTTGGACCTCTCCCGGTTTTACTCGTTGATGCATTACTAGTATTATTTTGCATTAATCATTGAATAATGAAAACTAATTACTCATTACTGAAGAAACTAAAAAAAAAAATACATAAAGGCACACAAAAAAGAAATGTAAAAAATTGTTAACTTGTTTGGAGAACAAACAAAGGAGAAAGTTACCATTGTTTGAATACATGAGATTTACAAAAAAACTTACACTTTACTATCCTTTTTAAATAATTTATTTCAATGAATTAAAACAGTAAATTATAAGAAGGGAAATTTTTATAAATGTGTAAAGGGACAGCGTGGCACCTCAAAAGACATTCCAAAGTAGGTGTGCCATAAATATTCCAACCTTCAAATGTGAATTCTTGGGGGAAAAAAAAAGAGAGAAAACGACCAGCTATCCATGCCTTTGTTACGCGTTTTCTTTATTACTAACTTTTTTATTAAGAGATTAAAAATAATGGTAGGAAAATGTTACCACTAAAGAAAAGATCATACTAAATTGTAACTACAAATATTAGGGAATTAAATATATTTTTGGATTTCATTACTTTAAATAATCCCATTAAATTGTAAATACTAATTTATCTACAGAAAAACTCTATCGTTTCTCCACAAAAAAAAAAAAAGGACACGCATTATTTACTTCTTACTCACATACATATACAAACTGTTACCATATACTAATACTTATTACAGTATCTTACCATTATAGTTAAAACATCATGGTTTTGATGATGACACAAAGTGAAACATATAAAGTTAGATTGAGAATCCAAAGCAAAGAATAGCATAATGTTGTTTACTCAAATAACTCAAATAAAAACTTAAAACTTACTATAATCATGTTGGATGTAATACCTTTCTGTCATAAACTAGTACTACCATTTAATCGCTACTCCAACTCTACCTTTCTGTCATAAACTAGTACTACCATTTAATCGCTACTCCAACTCTACTTTTACGAAAAAATAATTTATAATTATTAAACTATTTTTCTTAAAAAATCTACTCAGTGAACTCCACTTAAATATGAGTAAAATCCCTTTTACAATCCCTGGTAGGAATCGAACTTTGGTCTATCACTAGAAAGACAACAATTTAACCACTAAATTGTTATTCAATTCTCATTTATTAAACTAAAACACCATAACAAAGAGAATTATAGTATTTTCTAAAATATTTGAGAAAGTCTTCAAATTCACACATAATACGAAGAAATATTTTGTAGTAGTTGCTTGTTGAATTAGAATAATATGTACACTTACCTCCAAAAACAAGTTTCCAAGAGAACGGCTTTTGACACCAACATTTTCATCATCAGCCACGGTTGCCTGAGCTTCGGTTTTGTTAATTTCTTCGGTACTACCTTCTCCGGCATCGGCGGCACCGGAGGTTATGACAACCTCCCTTTTCTCCCCTTCCTCCTCCGTCACCATCGCCACCTTGTTGGTTTCTTCCGCCACCTTCTCCACAGCCTCTTCTGGCGCTTCCTCAGTCTTTACACCGCCCTCCAACACTTTGGGCTTGCTTGCACATCCTCCTATTGTTGTAAAAATATTTTTTGCTTTACTCAACATCTTTATTTTACAGAAAAAAAACACTGAATTATGCTAAATTGTCTTTTAGTTTTGTAAGAAAATAGAAAGAGAGAAGAAGAGACAGTTGGGTGTTCTAATGAGGAGTAATATTTATAGGCTGAATTTAGAAAGAATTGTGGTGCGAGCTTTTTGCAGATGATTGAGGGAATAAGGAAAGTAGGGAAGATCGATAAAGAATATTGTTTAATTTTTTTTAATAAATAGGTGTCATAATACTATATATATTATGGGTTGTGTTACTTTGAATCTTGACATTTTTGTAGGACAACTAAACCAATGTCCCACATTGCCATGTCTTTCAAACATGATTGGTTGAATCTTAATGGGAATGCACTATGCTAGATGATTAGAGACAGCTAAAGGCTTGAATAAATTATTTTCAATTGGATGGCTTTTCTTTAACTATTATAATCACACTATGTAATCAATGATTAGATAGTGTCATTAGAAACTTAAATGTAGAAGTAAATCATGTCTTTTAACCATAACTTTGTAACTATACAGAAAAAATATTTATAACAAAGTCTCTACCAACAAACTACATGAGGAGATGGTCAAAATTATGCATGAGATTTATCCTAGAACTTTTCATCATCTTATTTCTTTCACCTAAAATTTTTATTGCTCTATACATATAGGAACCTGGTTTACAAAACCCCTACTCTGATTAAACCTGTATAAATTGGCTTCTCACAATGACCTTATGAATATTACATTGATAAAGTACTAAGTGGTCATGGGGTAGTATGTGATTGTGTGAAAAAAGATTCTATGGGGATTGAATCATGAAAGACACGGTCACTCATGCTTCAGAACCCTTTTTCCTTACCAAAACGCTTTGTTAAAATTAGTTGAAACCCAATCATCGTATAAACTAATTAAGTGAGATGAAAGTAAGAAAACAAACACAAACCTCTTTAAATCAACAATTAAAAATTCAATGCGAAAACTTGGTTAAAGAAACGTGAAAAATGATTGTGTCGATTCCCTCCTTCTTAAGTAATCTCTTCATGTAAAAATAACTGTGCAGATACCCTCCTTCCTAACTAATCTCTTCATGTCAGAAAAAAATATACTACCTCCGTCTCACAAAAATAGTCCACATTAAAATTTCAAATTTGTATTAAAAACAGTACAAAACTCAAAACTTAATATAGACTATTTTTTGGGACAGAGGGAGTAATTTACCTTATTATATTGTTGGTTCAATAAAATGGAAACAATTTGGGGGAGATTAAAAGAGTATATCATTCGACATATTTCAACTTTCACATTCATGCTTTAAGAACCAAATAAATAAATAAATATATATATATATATATATATAATTGTGAGATTGTCATTACTGAAGCAATTTTTTGCACAAATTATGATTCGTGAATGTTATTCGAGAAATAGGCCGTCGTACCCCACAAAAAGATAATCTTTCGGCATCATTGTAAGCAGTTTTGGCTTCATAGTTTGGTCTCCGAAACTAAGAAAGGAAAAAAGGAAATCCTTCATACCAAAAAAAAATTTCAGGTTTAATTATCCCAAAACTTGACAATTTTTCTTCATTCAAGCCAACTAATTATGATGAGCTGATGAGGAAAGCGAATTGTCAGAGGGGGAACATATGAAAGCGTGCTGTACATATTTCATCTCTTTCAAACATGATTAGATCAGTCCCAGATTAATTTTTTTAATCACTATTTAGCACATTTTGCTAAATGCCAATTAGGCTTTAAAAATTATGAAGACTCTATTCCTCTTTGTAGCTCAAATCTTCCAATAAAATTTTTATTTACTTTCAAGAAAAAGACTTGAGTACATGACTTTCTTCTATATCATATTTTGATCCTGAAGATGTTAACACTGCTCCAAATCAAATGATTAGGCCGAAACACAAACGAATAAAGATCCAGAAGTTAGAACTAATCTGAATTTGAAGATGAAAGTACCAGTCCAATTGAATTTGAGCCTTGGATCATTGGATGAATATCATTTTGGGTCATTACTTAACCCAATTTGTTCTTAGTTTTCATGATTATTTATTGCCCATACACGTGGAAGCTACAAACATTGAGGTTTGTTAATTGTTTGGTACGCCAATATTTACATGAATGCAACACCAATTAGTCAAAAAAAATTTAAAAAAAAATAAAAAGCAAGAATTTAATATTGATTTTTTTTTTTAAAAAAAATAGTGATTTTGGTAAAATGTGAATGAATTTCATTGAAGTATCATCAACTGTACATTGTATCAACAAGCTATTACAACACTAAGACTTTCCAAAAATCTAACATCATCTTCACTTCCATTCCTATACATATGTATGATTCTGCATTTCATTTCTTGCTGAATTTTCCTGATTCTGTCCTCAGCCATTTCATTTTTCTGCTGGAACAGCCTTGTGTTCCTTTCATTCCAAATGTGATACACCACAACATTCAACCAAGCAAACAGGATCCTCCTTCTGGTAGCTTTATACTTCCATATATGCATCAGTCTTGCAACAGACAGGGTTTTAATCTGAGTTCTGATTCCTAACCATTGAGTAATTCTAGCCATCAGTTCCTGTGCATAAGAGCATTTGAAGAACAAATGTGTACCTGTTTCTTCCTTTTCCTTACACAGTATGCAGGTCTGATCTGTAACATTCATCTTCAGGTGTCTCATTCTGTCTATAGTTAGCAGTATGCCTTTCCAAGCTAACCATGAACTAAAACAATGTTTGGGAAGAGAGAACTTACTCCAACAAATATCTGCTGGTTTAAACTTCTCTCTGCTACCTCTAAGCCACACATAACCACTTCTGGCATCATACAGTTTACCATTGTTCCCTGTCCAGCTACCATTTACTACTCCTTTCAGAGCATCTCTGATTTTCATCAACTTCTTCCAATGCTAGCTACAATCATTTGGAGGATCATAATTCCAAATACTCCTGTCTTTTAAGTAGTAAATATGCATCCATCTAATCCATAGACTATTCTTCTTTGGTTCCAAATCCCATAGCTGTTTGCCCAGCATTGCTTTATTCCAATCACCTGGTTCTTTGATGTTTAAGCCTCCATCTCTCTTTTTACAGCAAAGATCATTCCAGGCTACCAAAGGAAAACACTTTCCAGATTCTTTTATCCCCCACAGAAACTTCCTACAACAAGAAGTTATTTCAGTTATAACATATTGTGGGATAAGAAAAATACTTGCCCAATAACTGTAAAGGGTCATCAACACTGCATTGATCAGCACTGTTCTTCCTACATATGAAAGGTGCCTGGATTCCCAACATTTAATCCTGGCAGTTACTTTATCCACTAAGTACTGGCAATCTGATTTACTCCATGCAATTGGAGCCACTGGAAGTCCTAAGTATTTCATGGGAAAGGTTCCAATGTCAAATTCCATCACCTGCCTTATCACCAGTTGTGTATTTCCTCCTGATCCACCAAAATACAGATTAGACTTCCCTTCATTGACTCTCAAACCAGTAGTGCTTGCAAAATGGTCTAGAGTTCCTTTAACCTTTCTGACTGTTCCTATCTCAGCTCCACAAAATATTAACAAGTCATCAACAAAGCTTAATGATATACTCAATTTCTCACAGTATGGATGTTTCACAAAGCCATCCATTTTTGCCACCAATTTAAAGCTTCTGGTGAGGTATTCCATTACTAGCACAAAGAGTAATGGAGACATTGGATCACCTTGCCTCAATCCTCTTTGACCTGGAAAATACCCAACACTGTTTCCATTAAGGTTCAGTGAGTAAGTAGATGATGTAACACATTCCATAATCCACTGTCTGAACCTTTCAGGAAACTTATATTCTTGCAACATTTCTTCAAGGAACTCCCAGTGAACTGAATCATACGCCTTCCTTAAATCAACCTTCATCATACATGATGGTTTTGCTGATTTCCTGTTGTACAGTCTGATTAACTCTTGTGCCAGCAACACATTATGTAATATTAATCTGCCCTTGGCAAAAGCTCCCTGATTGCACTCCACTAAATCTGGTAATACAATGCTCAATCTTTTGCAAATCATCTTAGAGATGCATTTATATATAGTATTACAGCAGGAGATTGGCTTGTACTCTGTGGCATTCTTTGGGCTTGCATTCTTTGGTATCAATGCTATCATGGTTTGATTGATTTGCTTCAGCAGTTTCCCAGTTTTGAAGAACTCAAGTATGGCATTGCTGAAATCATCTCCCACTATGTTCCATGCCTTCTTATAGAACCCACTATTGTATCCATCAGGACCAGAGCTTTTAGTTTCATCAATACTAAATAAAGCTTCCTTTACATCTGCTTTGGTAAATTCCTTAATCAAAAGTACCTGTTGATCAAGGTTCAGTTTACTTCCTACTTCAAATATTTCATTCTTGGCATTGGTTCTTGCCACCTTTTCCCCCAACAGCTCTTTATAGTAACCTATGAAGTGTTCCTCCACTCTGCATTGGTTCTCCACCAATTCCCCTTGTTCTGAAACATATGACTTAATCCTATTCCTGCTTATTCTTTGCCTGACTGCTGCATGGAAATACTTGGTATTCATATCACCATCACATATCCAGTTTTTTTTTTTTTAATTTCTGTGCCCAAAAACTGATCACTGCTCTTGATGCTATAGTATATTCCAGTACTGCTTCTTTTTCTGATTTCTATAATTCCTCATTCAATAGATCCTGCTTTAGGGCCTCCCGAATCTTATCCATTTGTATTCTACATTCCTGCTCCTTCTCTTCTATATTGGCAAAATTCCTTTTATTAAACAGTCTCAGTGCTGGTTTCAACAATTTTTGCTTTCTCACTAGTTGGAATTGTTTAGTACCTTCCATTTCTAGTTGTCAACCCTGCTCAATTGTTGATAAGAACTCTGGATGCTGTGCCCACATGTTAAAGTATCTAAATGATCTTTTACTCTTCTGCATTCCTTCTCCCCACCTGATCAGCAGAGCATTGTGATCTGAAATACCAGCAGGCATTACTGTACAGTATGCATCAGTATACGTTTGCAGCCATTTATCATTAACAAACACTCTATCCAACTTTGAAAAGATTCTCAATGCACCAATTTGTTTATTTGTCCAAGTAAATCTACCCCCATAAGTCTGCATTTCCCACCATTCATTCTCTTCAACCAATTTCTTGTAGTTCTCTGTATCAGCACTGACTTCATTCACTCCCCCAATCTTGTCTTCTTTCTGTAATATACAATTATAGTCCCCCATAACAAGCCATTCTTCACACACATTAGTGCTAAGTTGTCTTAACTCTGCCCAAACATTTGCTCTTCTCTGTGCAGTGTATTCATTATATACTACTGTCAGGTTGAAAGCTTTAGCTCCACCCACCTCCTTCACATAACAACGGATATATTACTGAGTTATTTGTGCCACCCTTATAATATACTCATCTCTTCTCCAAATTAATAGGATTCTTCCCTTATTTTCTCCTTCACTGTTTTCCACATAGTCATATTGTCTCCATTTCCTCTTCATCAACTCCTACACCTTTTCCTTATCCAATTTAGTTTCCAACAAACCTGCAATACCAACATTATTTACAGAAAGAAAGTTTCCAATCTCTCTGTATTTCAGGGGACTGTTAAGTCCCTTTATGTTCCATGAGGTGATGTTATTCATGTTTACTAGGCCCTGGATCAGGGTGACTAGAAACAGAATAATAGATAGTATTAACTGACCTCATTTTATCACACATTCTTCCTTCATTCACCTTACAGCCTTTCTGATTCAATATCTGAATCCCTTTCTCACAGTTGCTTGCATCTTTCCTTGGAGCTATGACTGTACTCTTTACTGGTGGTCTACTGTCAGGAGTTCTTGTTGGAGACTTTTCCATTCTCCTAATCCACTTACTTCCACCTGTCTCCCCAATTTCCCCTTCTTCTTCCTGAATTTCCTTTTCTTTTGGTGTCAACTGTGGTTGATCCTTCTGTCCAACTTCTTTTGGATTCCAAACCTTAGGAACTGGAATCCTACATTCATCAGACGAATGACCATAACCTTTACAATTCTTACACTTGATTGGCTTCCATCCATAGATGATTTTCTGTTCCTTCAATTCACCAGCCTCATTTTCAAACCACACCTTATCCTTCACCTGTTCATGTACTTCCACTTCCACTAACACTCTAGTATAGGCAGTTCTAAGTTTTTGCTCAGTCATGTCATCCATTTCTACCGGAATGCCAATCATACTTGCCAATTTGCTAAGTGTAGTGTCATTCCAATATCTAAGAGGCAGTTTAGGAAATTGAATCCACACAGGAACAGTCTTAACTTCATGCAATTTCAGCTCATCGTTGACAGACCATTCCTTAACAATGAATAGTTTCCTATCAAACAGGTACACAGGGTGTTTGAGTACTTCTTCCTTCACAGAGATTGATTTGAAACGCACGATGTACACTCCATTTTCAAGCAGTAAGATCTTATGTACACTCATTTTTCTCCATATTCTTCTGATAAAACCACTCAGCACTGCATACGACGGATTCACCCCCAAAACATAGCATAACACAGATGGTTTCCAATACTCAATCTCCTTTTGCACTTCCTCCTTCGTGATCTTCCCAACTTCACTATCATTAACTTTATTCGGTTCAATGAATCGAAGCTTTTTAGCTTGGTTATTCAGTAATTGAGCATTTATCCCATCCCAAACACTCTGCTTCTTCTGTTCATTATGCCTCAACTCCCACAATTATCATTCCCACCATCATCTAAATCACTTCCCATTGCAATTACACGATGATTACAGATTTTTTCATGCATTAAAGGATCTTTGGACACATTTAATGCAGAATTAGGGCTACGAACCTGGAACTGATTCGCATTCATTGCAGTTACTTCCACACTTCAATTCACAACCAGATCTTACTCCTTCTCCTTCTTTTCACCCGATTCCCTCTTCTTCCTTGATTTCTTTGTCATAGAGGACATCAATTTGTCGAAGAAATCTTTAGCCGAAGAAACACACACTTGAGGTGTTTTCGCCCCTAATGTACTGAGAGAGAGGTAGTAAGATTCTTAAAAAAAATAGTGATTTTGACACGGTACATTTTTACGGTAAATGATATCGCTTTACTCATCGGTTATCGATCTAATAATGACAAATGCACAACGTACCAAGCATATGTAAGTGATATTATGTTATTCACTTGTAACAACCACTATGACGAAATCGCTAACATTGTTGGTATATAAATATATAATATGGACAAATGTATACAGTCAGGCTAGCAAGGTTATACCAAAGCGACTGTACTTGCATCAAAATTTCACCATTTGTTCAATGTACTAAAAAATCATGAAAAACATCAAATCAAGAAAGAACGAATTTTGACAATGAAGAATTCCAACACATGCATATATGATCAGCTCACATTAGCGTTTTTGACCCATCAAGGAAGAGAAGAAAGAAGCAATGGGATTATTCTCAGGCTGCGGTTTTGCTGTTTCTTGTAATTTCTTCTCCTCCTCCGGCATCTCAACTTGCTCCTCGGGTTTCTTTTCCGATGTTTCGACGTTTTTCTCTTCCACCGGAGCCGGATTTACCTTTTCAGTTTCGTTTGTTGCCGGAGAAGTTGTCGGAACAGTTTCTGATTTTGCCATTTCATCTTCGTTTATCTTTTCAGGTGGATTTGGTGCAGCTGTCGTAGTGTCACTTTGTGTTGAACCTTTCCCGTCTTCATTTATCTGCAACACAATCAAATGGTTACATTAGTATTATTACTAATAATAATTGAAAGGCCAAACAAGCAAACCAAAAAACTAGTAGTATTCCACAAATTAAAATAGATTGCGTGACAAATTGTACTGGTACCCTTTACGGAACCAAAAAACAAAAGGGAAGAAATGTTATACTCCCTCCGTCCCATAATTATTGTCCAGTTTGAGTTTTCATATTTAGTTTAAATTGTACTAAAAATAAAACTTCAAACTAGATAATAATTTTGGGACTGAGGGAGTATTACTATTGGACATCTCAATAAGAAAAACAAGAAGCTATCTTTTTACCCACGTCATTTCTTACAAGTTTTGGAACTCATCCATGTCAAAGAAATAAATAGTGACGAGAGCTATAAGTCTGAACGTGTTCTCCCGGAAGAGTTTACAAACAAGAAAGCGACTTGAAGTTAATCAATCGAAAAATGCTACTTTTCCTTTTTAAATTCGTCCCTTTTTAAATATAAATTTTAAACTAGAATTATACCGTCAATATTAGAACGGCAATAGCCTATTTTTATCTCCTTTTTCCTAGCAGAAGAAGATTCTACAACTGGTATAATACCACGAAAAAAAAGAAAAACTTCATGGGCTTTTGAAAATACAGTCAATGGTTGATCAATTAATTTTTGTTTGCTTCAGTGGCTGACATAGATTAAGCAATGCACACTACTTCTTCTACAATAAATAATAATTTAACATGTCCCCTACTTATATGGAAAATTAGCTTATATTATCATGTTTTTGGTCTTCACATTTTACCACGAAAAAAAAAAAACAATGTACCTGTCTATTTCGAGTTAATCAACTATATTCTTCCTCTCAAAACTAGTTTTTTGGCCTTTGAAAGTACCAAAATAAAATCCCACGCTTTGGAAAATCAAGTTAAAGATTGTGGAATACTTATTTATCAGTTTCATCGCACTTAATTCTTTGAACCTAAAGTCTTTGTATTGAAAAAAAACAAATAAATAAACACACACACACGCACACACACTAATTATACATATTGCAATTTACCTCCTTGACTTGATCGGTTACCTCATCGATAACCACCATCTTTTCATCCGTCGCCAATTGGACCTCCGGATTTAGGTTAGAACTAGCAACAGCCTCAATCTGAACCTCCTTTTTCTCCTCCACCGGTGGAGGAGGAGGAGCCACCGTCGCCGCCTCAGCTTCCTCCTTCTCCTCCACCGTTGGAGGAGGAGTTACCGTCATCGTCGTCCCTGTCCCAACCTCCTCCTTCTTTCCCTCCTCTTCGAGTACTACGTCAGTAGCATCATTCCCAGTCACAATCTCCTCTTTCTTCTCCTCCACGGTTTCCGGCACCGGCGCAGGAGCCTCAGCTGCTGCTGTTGCTGTTGCATCATCCTTCAACACCTTAGGCTTGCTTGTACACCCTCCCATATTTCCTCCTCTCTTCTTAGGTATATGTTGTGTTAAAACAATATATTTTTGTTGAAGAGTTTGGCCTTGAGGAAAGCCAAAGAGAAAGAGAAGGGAGGGTGATTTTAGCTTTCTTTGTTGCAAGGAGATGGGAAAGATAGGAGAAAAAAGAGAGACTAAAAGTTGAAGAATGTTAATTTTAGGGTTTTATTTTGAAGAGAGATATGTGTTGTCTTAAGGGTTTCTTGTTTCCGACATTTATTCTGCGGATGTGAGAGTTTTCTGTGTTACTTCATTTCCTTCTTTTTGTTTTAACATTTTTTTGGTACTCCTCCTTTGGCATTTTAATTGGTAACTAGTTCCATGTCAATACAAAGAAAATTCTATTTCTTTCTCTAGGATTATCGGTAAAAGAAATTACGTATTAATAAGCTGTCACATTAACGTAGTAAAGAACGTACGTACGGAGCACGTAATACTACGTTTTATTTTGATTTAAATTATTTAAAGGAAAATTTCTGTGTCACGTAAACGTTGCTTGGAAAATATTTCATATGTCTCTCTCGAGACTTTAAAATATTTATTAGAAAATGATTGATGACATATAGATTACTTGTGAAGATAATTACCTAGATTTATAATTTATGTTTGTTACATTAATTTACGTTTGTTACATTAATGCCAATTGAGAGTTGCAAGCTATTTCTTTCGTTAATTTTTTTTGTCTTTCTTTTTTTCCCAGTTCGGAATCCATGTTGGATTTCTAGCAACGATGATCTATTTTTATCAACTTCCAGCTCAACCGGAATCGAATCAATGACCATACCAAATTAGCAACTATAGTGGTATGATCTTTCTATGGATTCTCCAGAGGGGAGGTTACATGTAGTCTAGTACTACAACGTCGCTTGTGACGAAAAAGTCTTCACCTAACCAACAAGCCAAGCAAGTACTAAATGTATTATTGGTTAGTTTAAGGGAGGTGATAAATTGAGAGCTATTTTTTCTGAAAAATTATTCCATATAGTAAGTGTATTCCCTTTTTTAGTGCAACAACACACCCATTATACTAGAAAATATCATGGCATCCGTAATTTTGTAATAACTTTTTCGGTAAAATTACTATCTTGTCCTATTCTTGTGTCTGACTGCACAATGCTACGTGGTACAACATCTTTTCCCGTGTTTTTATATTGAGAGCAAATACTTATCAACTACCTTTATTACCCTTACTTTTAAGAAAATTACCATATTTATTTTTCATTAACTTTTTCTCTTCTTTCATAAGACACATTAACTTTATTTTTTCTCTAAGTTTTATACTTTTTGGGCAAGCGATATAGATAACTACTAGCATTGCGATATAGAATCTATCATTGTTCCTTGAGCCAAAAAAAAAAAATTATTTTGTTCCTTAAGCCAAAAGAATTCCACATCAGCAAGATTTTATCAATATTAATAAGAACTATATGTAGCCCCGAAGTTCAGTTATCATCAATTGCATATTTTGCAATTGATTCGAATTTTAGTTGCTCTTTTTTGAACAGAATAAGTGCATGACCTTAAAAACCAAAAATACTATTAAACCTATTAAGTGAGAAAAACTATTAGGAAATTGGCCTCACAATTCACAACCGTAAAAATTGATATACGTCACTACTGAATCAAAGAATGTAAATTCAACCCCATAAAAGATAGAGTTATGGAAACATTATAATCTCTTTTAATTTGTTTGAAGGCCAAACAATAATGAAGGAAATTTTTTTTTGTTTGAAAATGATTATGCAAAAAAAAAAAAAACAGAAGTGTGAGAAGAATAGTGGATGTGAAAAGGAATGGCCGAAAAGAAGGGAGAAATTAATTAAGAAAAAATAAATCTGATTATTATCTCTAGAACTCCTAAGGGTAACATAGATAATTAACAAAATATTACTCTCAAACTAACAAATTTACTCTCAATTTATCAATTCCTTAGTTTAATTATAATCCGAAATCAAATTCGTGCATGAGCATGCAACAGTAGTTAAAATATTTATTGGAATAATTTTGCCTCCTGAAAGGAACATATCCGGTTCAAATTCGGATTATTCGGAATAATGATTTCAGAGAGTGCATAATATAAAATAAAGTCCTAACCTATCTAGCAGTAGGAATTTTTTTTTAAAAAAATATTTCATGGGTTCAGATACTGAATCCATCTAGGGTGTGTTGTGAATTATTTATTAATGTACTTAAAAATTTCCACAAAAAAAAAACATGCATGCACTGATTCTAAACAAAATAAACTAGTGAAATAACTAGTTTAAAAAAAAAAAGAAAACTTACCACTCGTGCAAGTTATACTGTAATTAGAAGTTATAAGTTATTTTTTCTGTCTCAAAATAATTGTATAATTTGAATTTTTTTAATCAAATTTAAATAAAAGTGAAGATTCAAACAAAATAATTCAAATAAAAAAATAAGAATTATAGTTTTGTCACGATAAAAACTGTCATATTTAATTTGTTTCGTTAAGGTCAGCTAGCCTTTTTACCTTCTTTTTCTTTTGATAACTAATGAGATCATTTGTTCTTTACGTTTAATAAGTGAGAATAAAAATATACTGAAAGCAAATAGCAACGAATTACAAATTGGTCAGTTTATAGTATTTTATTACATTTGCAAAAACTTTCTTGCTCTTTGAGCTTATCTGTTTCTTGCACTTTAACGTTACAGTAATACGGATAAAATTAAACTAATAATATAATTCTGCTAAGCTAGCGGTTCCTTGTACTTCAACATAAACGTCCTATTATTGCCAAGCAATTTCTTCTACTTCAACATAAACGTCCTATTTTTCCCCTTCTCATCATCATGGCCAATTTGAGGTTTTCTAGAGAAAACTATGATGAAATTTCTGAAATATCGATTCCAGTGGCTAAGGTGCGGGTTTGGCTAAAATTGGACCTGGTTTCACTGCACTATTTATGCTCGCATTTGTCCTCATGAATCCTCTACTACAAAGCTTTTAGTAAGTGCAATAGTTTAAACGGGATTACAAAAATTAGTTATGTGATGAACAATTAAGAAGGTAGGAAATCATAAAGAATGTGGTGAGACTTAAGACCTGCCACTTCTTGCTGCATATTAATAATAAAGAATGGGGAGAGGTGGAACCAGGAAACTATATAGTATATATGTTCATCCGTTGAGTATACCCTTTGGGTGCATTATACTGTATGGCAGTGGCTAACTCAAAAATTTACCTCTTGAGTATACCCCTTGAGTTTTTTTGAGTTAGTTGAAACCTGAACAACTGATAACGGTCAAATTGTTACATAAAATCATTGCAATTTTGCTCTTTAATTAGTTAAAAATTAGGGTGTTTCTTAGACTTTGTTCATTTTACTTAGCTAGTTTTATGTTTCTAAATAGGTGAGGACCGGAGTGAACAATTGCTGAAAATGGGGGCTTATGGAGCAATAATTGGGCTGCTAATTCCAATTTAAAATGAGGGCTAAGTTGGTCAAAAAGAAACTCCAAGACACAAGACACATTGGGAGTTAATAAGGGTGTCCCACAATAGAAACTAAAGAGCATGCTTGTCCCCTTGAATGAAGAACCAATTACCCACATTGATCAATGCTGTTGCTGATACCACTGCTGGAAGAAGAGGAAAAGACCAGTCAAAACCGGATTCAAGACACAAGGCATTGGGGCTAATAAATAATTCACAAGCATGGGGAGGCTATCTTGGAAGAAGAACCGGCTTCAAAACTCTATAAAAGGAGCTGCATTCCCAGCATGAAGGGAGATCTGAGTGGACATACAACACACAAAATACAACAGAGAGAGAAGAAGAGAGTGGAGAGGGGAGAAAACTCCAAAGGAAGAGGAAGTCCAGTAGCAGAAAAAGAGGAGTAACAGACCTCACTCGCTTGAGTGACCCTTGTCACTCAGGCGAGTGACCTGTTGCTCAGCCATGCAGATTTGCTTCTTCTCAATGCTTCCTTCTTTTCTTGTTTTTTCTGTAGTTTGTATGTGTAGTTAATTAGATTTCATTCTCCGGAACCTATGTAGTTTAAGTTTGTGAATGCATTCGGATGATTTTGTGTTTTGAAGCTAAAGCTTTCATCTACATCTTGATTAAATTGGCCATTTGATTGATTGTACACATAACTAATTGAATCCCGGAAGGGTAAACAAGGTTCCGAATCATTTAGCTTCAACTTATGACTTGGAAGTAACAGTCCAAGGTTCTAATTGAGATAGGAATATACTTGGTTAGCATAAGCATTCATATAAGGCTTAAAAACTTCATGACTTTATGACTTGATTAATCATTGGAAAATAGTTTAATTGAGTTGATAAAGATACCTCTAGGAAAAATTGGAAGTGACTTAGAGATATATAAGTGCCTGAATGAGCATGAATTCATACCAAAAGAGTGCAAGATTACAACTTGATTACATAGGGAAAAGAGAATGAATATCTAGTTTGCAGAGTCAGTCCCTTGAGTCGGAATTCTCACTCCCGTGAGTAAGGTTCCATTTGTCTTTCTTTGTCTTCAGTTCTGCTGCAGAATCACTTGCCTGAGTGACTTTACCCACTCGTGCAAGTGAGTGACACTCTGCAACTTTCTTTCTTGTTTGTCCAATTTCATGTTCTGGTTATTTGAAGTTTAACCCGTCCCTGTGGGATCGACCTGACTTATCCTATCTACAGTTTAAGTTGGTAAATTATTTTGGGGGCTTCGACAACCCACCAAAAGTGGCGCCGTTGCCGGGGACGGCGAAAAACTTCTTTTAACCATTTGTTTGTTTTTGTTTTTTTTTTCCTTTTGTTTTCTGATTTGAGAAGAGTGTGCCAACTCTGAAATTTAATGACATATCATCCTTCATATATAGGAAATTCTTATTATTGGAATAATTACCAACAAATTTCACCTAGTTATAGTTTTACTCCCCCTTGTGCTTTTAACGGTTTTGATTCTTATGAGCAGGATTATTACTACTCTGATCCACCAATGTCCCCGTGCTATGAAGGTGAGCTCGACTGGGAGCTGAGTCAAACAGTGTGGGACAAATTTCAGGAAACTTTAAAGGAGTTGGAGCAAAGAGTTGAACAAATACAACAAGGGTTCCAAAAGTTGAATGATATCTCAGAAAGGAAGGAAGAGCAATTTTCTCATCAGAATTTAGTCCTACCAGTGGAGGTGAAGGAGGTGAAGGAAGAACCAAAGGTGGAGATGCAACCACCACCATATCAGAAACCACCTCCTTATGTTCCACCTCTGCCATTCCCACTCAGAGGAGTGACAAAACACACTTCCTCAAGTGGCGTGTAAAACTCTGCCAAGCAGAAAGTTGTGCAACAAGATTTTAGTAACCCACTTGATGAGGAGT